ACACAAACTGTTTGTGCCACCCAGGGACCAGCTGAAGTACATTTTTATTAGATATGAGATTGTGGTAGTTTAATTTGTGTGTCAATTTGGCTGGGCCTGGTTGAGTGGCTGGGCTGCTGGTGGTAGTTATTCCCCATGATGAGACTGGCAGTCAGCTCCATGGTGGAATCTACCACAAGCAGCTGAGTAGCTGCCTTTGGGATGTGGTCTGCTTCCTGTATTTAAAGAGAAGCCTGGGGAATGGTTTCTAGCTTTTGGCACACTTGGACCCTGCTTATAGCGTTTCATTGTTCAGCAGGCTGCCATGCTCTGCCTACCTTGGGACTTAAAATGGACTTAAGTTAATGGCCTGCTGTGTGGTTTGGTAACATTGGGACTGTGCCTTTTTACTTGTCAACCTTAGGTTTCTCAACCTCAGCAGCCAGTAGCTGTCTGAGTGAAGAAATGCCTCTAGCTCTAGTGGGCCAGGAGCAGGAGGCAGAGCTGGACCCCAAGGTTGAGGGGCTTTCACCCAGCCCCTAGAGCCTGGCACTTTGAACTTAGACTTAAAGCCTCCAAACTGTAAGAGAATAAACTCCTATTTGTTAAGGCCATCCCATTTGTGGTATATTCTTGTCAGAGCGGCACGAGGTAACCAGAACAGAGATCCTCACTTGTACTTTCTTCCCCTGAATTTCTTGAAATGCTGCTCTCTGTTGCCTCTCTTATTTTGTTTGTTCTGTTGAGAAGTATAATGCCAACGTAACTTTCTTATGCTTACAGTTTATTTTTTTGCCTGTAGACCCTGAAGATTTCATTCTTAATCATTATTGCCTGATAACTTTAGTAGGATTAATTCCAGATAAATTTTCATGGCACATGGTAAGCTTTTGCAATATAGAAATTCAGATTTTCCTTTATTTTTGCATAAAGCTGTCTTGGATTATAGTTTTAACAATTAGTTCTGTGCCATTATTTTATTTTTCTTCATCAGGAATTTAATTATAAATATACTTAATCTTCTTTGCCTGTTTTCCATTTTAACCTTTCTCTCTTATAGTTTCATTTCTTTGTCTTCTTCATTGTCTTAGTTGCTGTCTTGCTTTTTTTCAATGCCACTTATTCAGCTTTTATTCAAATGTATTTTCCCCTGTACACCTTTTCAGTCTTCATTTATAAGATGGTTTTATCTTTTTCTTCAGTTTATTTCCTGAGTTGTTCATCTCATTTTATTTTTTCCATAGTTTTAAAATATATCTGTTCTTAGCATTTCAGTTTATGATTCAAGATTTTTATTTTTCATATCTCTAAACACTTCTTTTGGGAGTTCTGGTGGTGTAGTGCCTAAGGCATTTGACTGCTAACCAGAGGCTGGCAGTTCAAACCCACCAGCCACTCCTCAGAAGGAAGGTTGGGCAATCTACTTCCATAGTGATATCGCCTCAGAAACCCAAGGAGAGGTCGCTATGAGTCAGATCCGACTCCATGGCAATAGATTTTTTAAACGCTTGTTTCAGAGTATTTCATTCAGTTTGGAGTACTGTGTACCATTTTCTTCTCCATTATGAATACTTTGTGGTGGTGAATTTTTGTTAGCTAAAACCTTTCATCCTCATTTTCTGTTTTCTTCTTATATGAGTTTTTTAAGGAAAAAAACTAAACTCACTGCCATGGAGTCGGGTCCGACTCATAGTGACCTCTCCTTGAGTTTCCGAGGCAGTGTCTCTACAGAAGTAGATTGCCCCACCTTCCTTCCGGGGAGAGGCTGGTGGATTTGAACCACCAGCCTTCTGGTTAGCAGCCAAATGCCTTAGGCACTTTGCCACCAGAGCTCCCTACCACCACCAGAAAGAAGCCTGCTTATTCCTTATTCATTGCATTGCCTGGGGATTTGGGTCGGTTTTCAAAATTTCTAATTTGAAAGTGCCCTCTCTGTCAGTATAGTGAAGTGCAGTTTCCTTAATGGAGGACTTTTTGTTCATGAAGGGATGGTGTGGCTTGTGATTCTATTTTGTTTTTGCAAAATTCTTAATTTACTTTCTTCTTTTTCCTTATCACCATGCCTCCAAAATCACATGATCATCATAATTGATGCAGAAAGGCATTTGATATCCAACAGTCTTTCATGATAGAAATACCAACAGGAATAGAAGGGCACTGATAAAGCACATTTATGAAAAACCCACAGTTAACATCACACTTGTTGGTGGAAGACTGAAAACTTCCCCCTAAGATCAGGAACTAGACAATGATACCTGCTTTTGCCACTTCTGTTCAGGACGTTGTACCTGAAGTATAGACAGAGAAATTAGGAATGGAAAAAATTAATGGCATCCCAAGTGGGAAGCAAGAAAGTTCTCAAGTGAACATTTGATTCTTTGGTATCTGGTCATTTTATCCTACTCTTTTATGTTTAAAATCCTAATATTACCTGGTTGCATTTCAGATTTCCTCTAAGATCTTTTTCCTTCAACTTTTCTAATTCATATTTTTGTCTTGATTGAATTTTGCCCTGCTTATGCCTGAACATTGATCTAACTGGTTGAATTCACTTGATTATCCAGAAAGCTTATACATCTCACATATATTAGTTAGGATATTTTTATTCTCAAGAAACAACAACAACAAAAAAAATCAACTTGATGTAATAATTTAAAAGCCTGTGATGTCATAATCTAGGAAATCCAGAGGTAAAACGGGCTGCAGAATTGGTTGATACAGTGGCTCAACCATTTATTAAGGTCATAGTGCTTGTTTTGTTTTTAATTCCATTCTGCCTTCCTTGGCAATGGTTTTATCTTGAGGTGGATAGAAAGACAGCCACGAGAGTCCTACAATCAGAACAGCAATGTCTAGAGGAAAAAAAAGCCATTTCTTTCTGTCCCTTTTTTTTCAAACAAGGCAATTTTTTTCAAAAATCCTTAAAAATCTTTTCCTTATGCTAGAATTAGATCATATCTATTCCTAAACTAATCATTTGTAAATGGGATCACTATGTGTATTAGTTTCCTAGGAGTGTTGTAAAATAATTTTCACAAACTTGAAAAAAATAATTTATTCTGTCATAGAACCAGAGAAGTTCAAACTCAGGGTGTTGGTAGGGCCATGCTCCCTCCACAGGCTCTGGTGGAATAATCCTGTCCTGCTGCTTCTAGCTTCTGGTAGTTGCCAGCAATCTTCGGTGTTCCTTGGCCTGTGGCAGCGTAATTCCAATTCCTGCTTCTCTCTTCCCTCTGTGTCTGTGTGTCTGTTACCAAATCTCTCTCTCCTTATAAGAATACCAGTTACTGGATTTAGAGCCCACCCAAAATTGGTATGATCTCTTCTTAACTTGGCTATATCTGCAAAGATTTTAGTTCCAAATAAGGTCACATTCCCAGGTTCCAGGTAGACATGAATTTAGGGGGACACTGTTCCAGCCAGTACACTAGACTTAGCCTAATTATTTGAGGTAGAAAAGATATTGGGGAGTCTATTTCCATTATTGTTAACTCCATCCCAAAATTTTGCCTTAGTAATAGGGACAGACCTTGCTACCAAAGGTAACATGAGACTAAAGGTAACTAAAAAAGGGAAAGTAGGAGTAGGTAACAAAGATTTATATATACCCTATGTATGAGCTCTGATACTGTAGTGCCTAAGGCACTTGACTGCTAATCAGAAGGCTGGCGGTTCAAACCCACTAGCGACTCCTCGGAAGGAAGATGGGGCAATCTACTTCCCTAGTGATACTGCCTTGGAAACCCAAGGAGGGGTTGCTATGAGTCGGGTCCGACTCAACGGCACATAACAACATAACAACAACATGTATGAAATATTAATAAATAACAACTGAGGGAACTTTAAACTATTTGATATATTTTTAATAATCATCTAATATTTTTGAGATCTCTATGGATAAAAGGTAATCATTAGTATAGGCAAAAATACTCTAAATTCTAATTAGGAAAATACAAATTAATGAGATTTTTCTCCATAAGTAAACTTTTAGAACAAATAATTTTTATGATTGGGTAGGCCTTGATGATTTTATGTACTTCCTTTATTATTTGTTTATGATTGTGGGTTACTTAAAAGTTAGGGTTATTCTTCCAGTAAAGTACAAGATAATCCATATTCCCCAAACAAATATCTACTGGAGTTATCTGACCTACTTTATAGGAATTTCAGTTTGATTTTAGGCTTGCCCTTCCGTAGACTATAGAACACTTTATTGTTTATCAGAATCACCTAGAGGGCTTATTAAAACTCTTATTTCTGGCACTACTTCCAGACTTTCTGATTTAATATGTCTAGGATAGGACCTCATCTTCTGGCTCACCTTCCAGCTCTACTCCGCTGGAAGATGAGCCCCTCAGTTGGAAGGCACTCAAAGTACAACTGGGAAAGGGCTGCCTCCTCAAAAGAGAGTCAACTTTAATAATGTGTATAAAGTAAAGTTTTGGGACCTTCATTTGCTGATGTGGCATGACAAAAACCTCCAGAGTTTCCACGTTACACTGATATTGTTAGTTTGGGTACCACATTTTGAGAATCACAGTCCTAATAAAATGTAGCTTCTTCTGCTGATCAGAAACAAACTGCTTACTAAAATAATCTGGGCATAAATCTAGAAAGTTAGAGTTTATAGAATTGGAAATTGTTCTGTTGTACCTATTAATTTTCTATAAGAATATTTTCATTATTTTTAACACTTTAACATATAGAACAGAAGCAAGCTGTTAAAGGCTATATAGTCTTAACCTGACTTTAATTCATTAGTGTCAAATATATACTTTTAGAGAGTAAGTAAGGTAAAAAGTACCTTATTCTCTGAGATATGTAAGTGGTTTACTTCACCTTGTCAATTGATTGATTTGGTAAATTAAAAGAACTAGGTAATGAATACTTTTGTAATGTGGATAATGATTTTCTGATTTATACTGGGTCTCCTTAAATCTAGAAGAGAGTTCTTGTAACAAATATGTCCTAAGTAATAATCCATTTGCACACTGTTTTTTTTTTTTTTAAATATGTTTCAGACTGGATACTTTTTCAAAAAGAGCAATTACTTCATCATTTATATCTGAAGAAAATGAAGTTAACTTTGAAGATAAAGTTTCTTCATCAGATGAAATAATATGGTCAGGTAATAGTGAAAGTGGATATCAAGTAAGTCACTTTAGTGAAAGTCATATGCCATCATCATGTGAGACTATCTCATCTTTGTCATTATTTCATTCAGAAGTAAAGGAACATTTTCAAAGTCACAGAGAATATCTAGAAAATGAATATGAAACAATGCGATTTTCATCAAAGAAATTATTTTCAATAATGAAAACCAACAAAAATAAGAACTTAACGTTATCTTCTGATCTTAACTTTTCAAGAACTCCTAGATTAACTGAAGAAAATGAAGATCTAGATGTGGCACCATGCCCTCCTGCCCACTTGCATCTTTCCAGAGACCAAATTAGGCTTCTGGAAGAAAATGTGAGAAGTCAAATTCTTTTGAAATCAAAAGGTGTATTACAGCATACTACTTATTTATATACAAGATCTCAAGAGTCTTTTATTCAGAATCAGCATTTTGTTACAGTGGGTACTTCTGCCCAAGCACAGAATTCTTTTTGGGGACAAAATTGTATTCAGAATCAAGCCCAACAATTTGTTCAGAACCAGGAACCAGTCAACAGCAAGCCTACTATCAAGGTCAGATACTTTGCTCAGCCTCAAGATTTGATAAGGAAACCATTTTCCAGCAGCATACAAGACTCCTTCCAGACCCCAAGTATGGGTAGGAGCCAATATTTAGTCACAGTCCCATATTCAGTTGAGAATCAAGATTCAGTCGAGAGCATAGAGTCTGATAAAAAACATTTAGGAGAGACTCAGTATTCTATGTTGTTTGATGATTCAATGAAGAATAAATATTTAATCAAGGGGCAAAATACCATTTTTGAGAATGCTGAAGTTCTAGTTTTAACCCTAAGTCCAAATTTAGTTGTTGATGAGACACCACAACTAAACAGTATAAAGCCAAAGGGGCAGCAGCAAGTTGCTTCATCAAAATCAAACCAGGATTCTGTATATTGCTCAGTGCCTCTTTCACATACCGTAAAAAGGCAGAAAAACTGGCGAAAAACATCAGAATGTAAAAGTAAACTTGGTCACAAAGTTCCATCTCTAAAGGCAAAGAAAACACCAATTTCACAGGTATTTCAAATCACAGCTTGCCACACCTCAAAAAGTAGCAAGAGATTAGGCGGTAACAAAAACACTGAGATGAAGGAATTATATCAAATTGAAGGTATAGCAGATACAGCTTTGCATCATATTTGTGTTTCCAAGCTTATTCCTCCTTACATTAAGAAGTATTTCAGAAAAAATCTAGTGAAAGCCATGCCAGATTTAATGAAACGTATACATTTTCTCTGGAAGCAAAATAAATCACCAGATGCAGAGACAATAAGTTATGTAGGTTCTGTTGAGCACAGAGGACACTTGGGCATTATTAAAAATGTAAAGCAGCATGGCACGGAAACTAAAGGACTGAAATACATTTCACCAAAAATTCTACCTCAACTTAATCAACCTTTCAATATCAACACTTATCAATTAAAAGCACCTTGCTGTTCATTAATAGAAGCAAACTGGAAGAATGAAGAGTCTCCTAAAGATCTAATTGATGTTGCAGATCTTCAAGCCGCAAACAGTAAAACAACATTTGACCTGCATATTCCAAAGTATGAGACACCTTTCAAAGAACCCACATCTGAACCTATGCAGAAATTTGATTCCTCTCCCAAAATGGAGTCGAGCAGAAGCATGAAAACGTGGGAAGATCTAAAAAATACAGATAATTCCAACGTTCAGCTTTCAAAAGGGGAGAAGCTACTAATTAATACCTCAGAAATGAAAAGGAGCTTTCCAAAGGAAACTACACAAGAGCACAAAGATTTTCTACAAATTGCTGTGGAGACTTCACATGTTGATTTGCTCCTTTCACTAAGAACTGAAAAGCATAAAAGCAGTGACACATTAGCATGCATAAAAGTTCAAGTGGGTACAGAAGATGTAACTCTGAAGGAAAAGAAACCATCAGAACTTCTTAACACTACAGACTGTGATAACCTAAGTCCAAGTAAGGAAATGAAATGCCACCCTAGAAGCAACATGAAAAATATATATAAACAGAAAGTATCAGATACATTTCGTAATGCTGCTTATACTACCATTTCTGAACCATCTAATTTGGAAATGCACAGCAGAATAAAATCGGAGACAGGTACCTCAAGAATAATAAAGCTCAGTCTTTCAGCAAGAGAGCAAGAGAAATCACCAGATGAAGAGAAAATATGGAATGCAGAATACATCGATGGGGAATGCATACAAAACAGAGAGGGAGTTCAACAAGAAGTTTTACAAGAAGCTGGTCCACAGTCAACACAAGATTTTAAGAGAAGCACCCATCTAAAGCAGCAGCCTGAAAATGTCAAATTTAAAATGGAGCAGAGCTGTTTAGAAAGGAGAAAAACCCCAAATAAAGAGCAAGCAGTACAACCACAAACAGTTTTTACAGAAACTATTTTGGAGACTATTCCATGCCCCACAGTGGGTCCATTTCAAGCTCAGAAGCTGAAGCAAAGCACAAACAGGCATACAGTGAGAGACATGGGTCCACTTACACTGCCAGAGAATTTACCAGCTGATGAACTTTTAACTGAAACAACAGAGTCTAGTATCCCATTTGGTGGAAAGCCTAGAAGGTCACTAGATGATTATATTGCAGGAAAAAAGGAAAGCTTAAAAAGAGTTTTACCTGACGTTTCTCTAGAGACTTTTAATATCCACATGCTTACTTTATCACATTTAAAAAGGCCAAAATGCAGAAAGAAATTATCAGGGAAAAAAGGTGTGTCCAGTCAAAAATATGTAATTATGAAAGTAAAGAAGCCAGCAATCTCCCTGATGCGATACATCAATGGACATGGTACTCCATGTCATAGAAAGAAGTTGGGATGCAGTTTTAAAAATAAAATTAAACAAATCCTACAAGGTAAAATCGTGGCAGATGTGCTTCTAAATGTCATTTACCCTGACGTGGCTATTTTGCCTAATATTAGAATGCATAGAAGATTAAATGCAGGGAATCATCGTCATACCAAGCTAAAGCAAGAAAAATCACAAGTTGAAAGGAAAGAACGGCCTTCAGATTCCACTAATAAGGGAACTGTCTCTAGAGACACACTAGAAACTAAGTTGCAAAATGAAGTGAACAACGAAACTCTACCAGAAGCAGTTTCTCATGATGGCTGCCACCTCAGATTTGATGCATATCCAGTGAAGGAGCTTAAAACAGAAAAAGAAATGCAGCAAAAAGACTTATTCACAGAAACCGTTATGGAGTCTATTTACTCTCCTGTAATGGATCTGTTTCCTGTTGAGAATATGCAGAATAGCCTAACAGCACCAACAGATGGAAAATACACTGAAGATTCTAAGATACTTCCTGCAACATCGGGAAAATCACTGACTGGAGAGGCTTTAAACCAAACAAGAGAAACTGATGTTCCAGATAGTGGGAATTATACAAGGGAAATAGGTTACAACATTGCAGAAAAAACAGAATTACCAAAAGATTTGCCAGCAACTTTCCCAGAGACTTTTAATTTCTGCATCCTTGTATTACCTCATTCTAAAAGACAAAAGAACAGAAGAAGGTTAGCACACACAAAATGTACAGTGAGACCCAAATATGTACCTATGAAGGCAAGGAAGCCATCAATATCACAAATATTTAATGTCATAGCATCTCATAACTTTGGTCATAGAAAGCAATTGAGGTCCAACTTTAAGACCAAAGCTAAAAAGATACACCAAGATAAAGGATTGGTAGATGAATTTCTAAATACCGTTTCCTGTCTCATACATGGCAGATTAGAAGCAGAGACAAACAGGTGCTGCCAGGCTCATCTAAAGCAAGGAGAACTAGCAGATGAAAAGAGACCACAGAATGCTGGTTCCCCTGATCAGAGCTGTGTTTCCTACAACAGACAAGACAAAGTGCAAGATGGAGAGGAAGAAAAACAAAAAGATTTCCCAGAAGCAGCTCTACAGCATACCCAACACCACACATCTGGGGTATGTCAGATGAAGGAGATCCCCTCAGCACCAAACCATTTAACACAGAAGCTGTCTACTGATGGGCAAGATGCACAGCACCAAGCATGTTTTCCACACGCTGTTTGGGAGGCTAGCTCCATAATGGATCCTAGAGAAGCTGAAAAACAGAAAACCAACAAACCAGAAAATGATGTAGAAGCCTATGCAACTCTAGAGATTCCACCTCCAAAAGCAGAGGACTCATCACTCAGTAAGCTTTTGACCACTACGACAGAGTTTAGTTTACCATCTGATGGAAAGCCTAAAAGGGAATTTGATTCTTCTCTTGTGGAAGAAAATTCAGAGTTACCAAAAGATGTGCAGCTGACACCCCTTCAGTCTTCTGATTCCGTTAAATCTTTTGTTTCTGAATCTAAAAGACAGAAGAAGATATTGGCCAATAAGCAAACAACAAGATGCCAACATACAACTATGGAGGCAAAAAAGCCACCAATCTCTCATATGCTTAATGAAATATATGGCAAGCAATGCAATTTTTACATGAAGGCGAAAGATCCACCACAAAGCAAAAATGCAGCTGATGCACACGTGGATGTTGTTCACTCTATGATGCCTATTTTGCCCAACATCAAAGTGAGCAGCAGTTCAAACAAGACAGAAATGCAAATGGAACAGATAATAAAACCTGGTCGTATACAACTAATCCAAGATAAATCACCCAATGAAAGAAACGTAGGGTTCCCAGATTCTGTTGATAAGAATAGTATATCCAGCAGTGTAAACTCTGGAAAGGAAGAGGAAGGGAAACACGAAGCTTTAATGGCTCCAGAGAGTAACCAATGCTTCAGGTTCAGTACATATCAGAAGAAAGATCATGACCAAGTCAAATCAGATGAGAAACCAAAGCCACTAAGAAGTACCAATATTCAGGAACAAACTCGCTCTGCACAAACGAGTTTGGATTCTCTTCCAGGCCTGAATATGAATCAGTTTCAATTTGAAAAACTAGAGAAATGTGCTAGTGCTTCACCTCCAAAGTCAAAAGAGCCAAAGATTGATGAAATTACACTTCCTGCAAGAGAATGTGGTGCTCAGACTGATGGAAACCATCAAAAGAAACAGGATGGTGGTATCGAAAAGAAAAAGACAGTGATTTTTGACACCTGTATGCCTGCTTTATCTACATCCACAAGGGAGAAAAACTTCAAAAAATTTTCAGACATGAAAACTTTAGCGAATCCCAAATGTGGCATCATAAAGGCAAATAAGCCGCCAAATTCACACATGCTCCATATCAAGAATTATCCTAGCTCAGGCCATAGGAAAAAATTGGGATGTAACTTGGCCACCAAAATGAAAGAGATGCATCAAGATAAACAAGTGGTGGATGAATTATGCCCTTCTACAACTATTACACCTGACATTAATATGGATAGCAAAATACAAACAGAAAAAGACAGTTTAGGGAAAAAGAAACTCCGTTCTACACAAGTAAAGCAAGAGATATCATCACATGAAGAAAATACTGCTTCAGATGCCACCAAAGAAACCAATCTTCAAGATGAAGAAGAAGGGGGAGAAGAGGAAGAAAGTGAACAGGAGGCGTTATTGAAAGTAATTCCACAGTACAGTCAACATTTCATATTCTCTTCACATCAGGGGCAGGGGCTTGACCTTCATGAATCAGAAAAACAAGGAAGTAGGAGAATTCTGTTTGTTACAGAACAAGTTGTACCACAACAAATGCAGCCTCCAGATCCAATGCAGTTTGAGGAGCCAAAGAAAAGGCTGCAGAAACAAAATGGCACTATATGTACAGTGAGTTCCAAGTATCCTCCCCTAGAGTCAGAGGAATCATTAAAAATTAGTGAAGTATTAACTGATACAATACAATGTGGTGCCCCAGCTGATGGAAGCCATACAGGGGAATTGCACAATCCTGGCAAGGAAGAAAGGGCAGAATTAAATAATCTACAAGCAGCTGTGCTGGAGTCTTTGGATTTTGCTACACTTGATCTATCTGAATCTAAAGGGGAAAGAAAGCCAATTAAATATAGAACCTTAAAAAGTGAAATGAGTCTCAAATGTGTAATTACAAAGGCAAGAAAGGCACCAATTTCACAGATATTTAATATCCCAAGGTGTGGTCATCTAAAACCACCTCCAAGGACCCAAATTTCACAAATGTTTGAAACTTTAATTCATTCTGAATACTCTGGGGTCCCATCTGATGAATTTCATATGGGGCTTCTGGAAGATCTAATTGCAAAGGAAAATAAAGGACTAGGACCAGAATTACTGGCAATGATTCTGGAGTCTTTTAATTTATCCACATTTGCCCTACCTGCATCTAAAACAAAGAGAGGCTGTTTAAAATTTACAGACAGGAGAAATAAAATTAGTCCCAAATATACCCCTTTGAGGGTAAAGAAGACACTGATTTCGAAGACATTTAATATCACAGGATGTGGCACACCAAACCATAGAAGGCAATTAGAAGACAACTTCAAAACCGTGATGAAACAAAGTAAACTTATGGCAGATATATTCCAAAATGCCATTTCCTCTCCTGTGCCTGTTTCACTTGGCATTAAAATGCAGAATAGAACAAACGTAGAGACAGACATGCTGTTTAAAGCAAGACTCAATCAGGAACTACAACAGCCAGAGCAATCACCCAATGAAGAGAGAGCCTGGTGTGTAGATTCCAGTGACAAGAAAGGCAGTATCTCAAATCACACTAAAGAAGTCAAAGACCAAGGTAGAGAGGAAGAGAATGCTGGAGACTTGCTGAAAGTAGTCCCACTGAATTCCCAACACTTCAGTTTCAGTGTTCATAAAATGAAGGAGCCTAACTTTATGAACTCAGACCCAGGACTGAAAAATCCAGAAAGTAAAAAAATCCTAGAATCATGTACTACAGTTCAAGACCTACAGCAGCAAACACTTACTACACAAAGACTGTTAAAGACTATTTCTTGTTCTATTTTGGATTCATTTCCAGTTGAGGTGCTACGAGAAAAAATAAAAACACACAAAAGCTTTAAAAATACAGGGAGTCCAAAGATTTCATATTCAATGCCAGAGAACTCAAGTAGTCAATTTTTAAATGTTCCAACAAAGAGTGACATACCCTTTGAAAGAAGTCCTAAAAAGGAATTTGCTAGTTCTGTTCCAGAGGAGAAGATAAGGTTACAAAAAGATTTACAAGGGAGAACCGTAAAGTTTTTTGATTTTCCCATACCTGTTTTATCAGAATTTAAAAGACAGAAAAACACAGCACAATTATCAGGCAAAAAAAGTACAGTGAGTACCAAATGTGGAATTTTGAAGTCACAAAAGCCACCAATTCCAGAAATACTTAGTGTCAGTAGAAGTGTTAACCCAAACCATGGGAAAAAAGAGAAAAGCAACTTTGAAGTAAAGACGAGAGAGATGCAGCAAGGGAAAAGTGTGCCAGGTACCTTTTTGAATACCCATGTCTCTTCTGCACCAGTTTTGCCTGACGTTAAAACTTATGAAAGAATAGAAACAGAGACAACCAGATTAACAAAAATAAGATGCAGTCACGTACCATGTACCTGTTCCATTGATAAGGGCTGTACCCTAAATGACAGAGAAGCAAAAGTTCAAGAAGAAGTAGACCAAGCTTTATTTGAAATCTTTCCATACTGTCCCCAACAAGCCATGCCCTCTGAATATCAAAAGAAAGAGCCAGAACTTGTGAGATCAGATACAGATTTGAACAGTTCAGAAAAGAGGAAAAATCAAGCATTGTTTGTTACAGAGCAAGAGGTGCTACAGCAGACTTTTCCAGAAACAATTTCTTGCCCTGAAAAGGACCTATTTCAAGTCAAGACATCAGAGACAAACAGCAAAATGCAAAAAGGTATTACATATGCAATAGATCCAAAGATTTCATCTCAAACTTTAGGGGAATCAGTGACCAGTGCACTTTTACACAATAAAGTAGATAAACTATATGAGGGAAGCCATAGATGGGAACTTAATAATCATATTGTTGAGGGAAAGGCAGGCATACCAATCTCCAAGTCTATTTGTCCTTCTATTATGACTCCATTTCAGACCGAAAATCTGAAGAACAACCCACCACAGAAAAACATACTACATACCAGAGGTGGGAAAATTCATTGTGCAAAATCAGGGAAAGCAATGGCTGATAATCTTTTAACTGATAAAACAGAGTACAGTATTACGTTTGATGGGAACCCTACAACGAAGCTGGATGTTCATGATGCAGTTTCCCTACAACCTGAAGAAGAACAGGAAAACATAAAAACTCAGAAAATGATAAAATACACAGTAGATGGAAATTTCCTACCTGCCAAATCAGGGAACTCAGGGCTCGGAGATCTGTATGGTGAAACCCCTGTAAGGAAACTGAATGATCACATTGCCAAGAAAAATGAAGAGTTGCAAAGAGATTTGCCACCAATGGGCATGACATCTGCTTTATCTGATTCTAAAAGGCAGAAAAATATATTAAAATTTCCAGAAAGGAAAGGTATCACATGTCCCAAATATGTACGTATGAAGGCGAAGAAGCGTCTGTGTTCAAAAGCACTTAGTATCAGCATTCATGATAATCCGCACCATAGGAAGGAGCAGGAGTCTGTTTTAAAATCTGACATAAAAGACATGCAACAAAGTAAAAGTAGAGCTCATTCAGTTTTGTCTCCCACACCAATTTCAGCTGATACAAATGTTGATATTGACATGCATAGCAGATCAAAAATAGAGACAGATAAAGCAGGAGTGAAAATACTCAATTCTACCCATCGAGAACTAGAGCGATCACCACATGATGGGTGTAAGGCCAATTTGACTGATTTGCAAAGCAGATCAAGCAACACAATGAAAATGAACATGCACTATGAAAAGGAAGACAAAAACATTAAAAAAATGTTAGCAGAATCAGTTTCACATTTCAATTTCAGTGCAAGTCAAATGAAAGATACTGGCAAACCAGTATCTTTAGATCTAAAGGCTCCACTTCCAAAAGCAGAGGAATCAGAGATGAGTTTAATGCTATGTGATACTCCCTGGGATGCAATTCCTAGAAAGAAATGGGATAGTCCTACCTCTGAGAAAAGGGAGTTAAATCAAAAAGACTCATTAACAACTGTTTTAAAACCTTTAGATGTCTCCAAACTTGTTTCATCTGAAGCTAAAAGCCAACGCTTCACAGAGTTTGTAGGCAAGAAAGGTATAATGAGTCCCAAGTGTGTAACTTTGAAGGCAAAGAAACTTCCAATTTCACAGTTAATTAATATCACAAGATATCACACAGAAGAGCATAGGAAGAAAAAGCAGCACAACTTTAAGTTCAAGAAGAAAAAGAGGCAACCAAATACAAGTGTGGGAGAAGCATTACTAGGTGCCTCTCATCCCCCCATGTTTACGTCGCCTGATGTGACAGTAGTAAACCTATCAAAAGCACACACAGACATTCCTAGAGTAGACATATTCCGTGATCACCAGCTAATGCAAAATAAATCCCCAGATGAAAGTGAAGCTTGGCCTAAAGATTCTATTGAGAAGTGGTGCATGTCAAAAATCACAACAGAAGCAAAACTGCATGATAAGGATAAGAAAAAGGACAAAGAAGCATTATTGCATCAGAGCCAAGTTTCAGTACAAAAGCAGATTGTGAAGGAGAGCATAAAGGCACAGAAGCTCATAAAATGTAGAGAAAATCGGAACAGTTCATCTCGAAAACCAGAGAAATCAGTGTTTGGAGAACTTTTTGTGAGCACAACAGAGTGTGGTACTTCTTGTGAAGAAACCCCTGAGAGGAATATGGGTGGTCAGATTATAGGAGAAAAGGCTGGGTTTCAAAAAGGTTTACCAGAAACTATCATGGAGCTTTTTGATTTATCTGTGCCTATGTTATCTGAAAATAAAAAGCCAAGAACTACAGTACAGCTACAAGATGTGAAAAGCATTATGAGTTACAAATATTTAACTATGAAGGCAAAGAAGCTACCAATTCCACAGTTATTTGATATCACAACATGTAGTTCTCCGGAACAAAAATGCAAGTGTAAATACAACATGAAACTGGCCTCAGAAGAGAAACATGAGGCAGATGCATTTCTAAATACCAGGTATTCTTCCATGCCTACTCCATGTGACATCGAAACAGATAAGAAATTAAAAGACGAGGAGGACATATTAAGACAAGCAATCAGTCTTACACAAATAAAGCAAGAAAAATCAGATGACAGGAGCACATGGGATACAAATTCTAGTGACAAAAGAAGGTCCTCAACAGATACAGTAAAAAAAAAATTGGAAGAGAAAGAGTACCAAGAAAATGTACCAAAAGAAATTTCACCTTATTTACAATCATTCCAGTCTGATACATACCAAATAAAAAAGCCTGATCTAATCAAATCAAAAAATGAAATGTACGGGCCAGGAAGAAGAAAAGTTTGGGATTTTCCTATGAGAGAACAAGATACGCAGCAACGAACATCATCTCCAGAAACTGTTTTAGGTTCTAGTTCCTGCCACATAATAAATCAATTTCAAGTTGAGAAGATGAGGGAAAGCCACCAAATACAAAAGGACATACAAGTTGTTGATACAGCTAAGGTTCCACTACCCAAATTAGTGATTGATAAACTCTCATTTGATAAGATACAGAGGGGCACTGAATCTAACAGAACACTTCAGAAAAGTCTGGGTGGTTATATTGCAGAGGAAAAGACAGAGTTACTAGAACATTTCGCAACAACTTTCTTGGAGCCTTTGGATTTCTTCATGCCTGTTTTATATGACTCTGAAAACCAGATAAACCCAGTAAAATTCCCAGAAAAGAGACTTATATTGAATCCCAGATGTATAACTATGAAGAAAAAGAAGTCATCAGTTTCACAGATTCCTAAAATCAATAGACAGTTTCCTATAAAACATAGGAAGAAGCTTGAATCCAATTTAAAAACCAAAATGAAAGAGAGGTTGCGAGGTAAAAATGTGGCTGATACATTTCCAAATACCCTTTACTTCATACCAGGTACCTGTGCCATTGAAAAGCAAAGCAGATTTAAAACAGAGATAGATACAACAGGAGTATCAAGGTTTAGTCATCTACAACTCCCACAAGTGGAATCACCAGTTGAAGGAATAGCCAGACATTCAGATACCATTGTGAAGGGAGGTGCTTCAGACATTCTCAAGGAAGCAATACTATGTGATGGAGAAAATAAAGAGAAGCAAGAACATGTAATAAACACAGGTCCAGTGTATACAAAAACCTTCATGGTAAATGCATATCTCGTTATGGATCCCAATTCTAGCAAATCAGAAGGTGCCATTTTAAGCAAAAGTCAGATCCATGAAAGGAATCCAGAAAAAAAAGTAGAAATAGAAGAAAACAAAGATGTGATAGTGAGTCTCAAAAATGGACTGACAAGCATGGAAAAATCAGAAATTTACACAGAACTCAGTAAACCAACAGGTGATAGTAAATCTGGTAAAAAGATCATTGAAAATTCTGTTTTAAAAGAAAAAGCTCAGTACAATAATTTAGCAGGAATTATCCTAGATTCTGTTGGCAGGCATTTGCCCACTTCAGAAAAAATTAAAAGACAGAATGATAGCCTAAAAATAAGTGGTATGTCAAGTGCAAGTCCCAAAGGTATACCTTTGAAGGTAAATCAATTACTTAATACCACAGGTAATGCTATTCTAAGCATTAATAAGAAACAGGAGCAGAACATTAAAGCCCAGAAGATAGATGTACAGAAAGATAAAGCTGCATTCAGTGCAGAGCTAAATTCTTTATATTCTATGCCTATTTCACGACACATAGAAATGGAGCAATCACCTAATACGTGGGATGTATATGCAGTATCTTCTGATAGGAGAAATGCCCCAAATAAAGCAAAATCTAGAGAAAAAGAAGATTATGAGCACCAAATTTTGTTTAGAACAGCTTCACAGTATACCCAGCCATTTGGTTTGGGGCTAGATCAAATAAGAGAGCCTGGACCTTTCAAGTTAGAAGTACCTTTAATCAACACAGTGTGCCACAAGGACATCACGCCTCAGAAAACCAAAATTGGTTTAAGAGAACAAGAAGCAAAGAGAGAAGTTGTAGATGAGATTAGTCCAGAGGATATGTTTTTCTCTGAGAAATGTCAACTTCATAGTGAAAAACAGAACATGAAATTTAAAATGGCAAACTGGAAAACAATAACAAATTCAAAGGCGCATGTTCCAAAGGCAGATAAATCTTTAGTTGGTGCACATTCTATTAATATGGTAGAGTGTGGCAATTCATTACAGCACAGAGAAGGAAAAGAACTAGGAGGGCCAGGCCATCTTGCCCTGCATGAGAAACAGCAAGAGCCATGTGTCTCAGGAAGTATCTGGGGTTCTGTTTATACTGACACACCTAGATATCCTGAAATTATAGAACATAAAGATAAAACAAAAATAGCAGATGTGGAAAACACTATGCATGTTAAACAAGAAAAACTGAAGACAAAGAAAGCACCAGTGTCCCAGCTGCTTAATATTACCAGGTCCGGTACCAGAAGCAATGAAAAAGAACTGAGATATAACATTCAACAGGAGAAAACATTCCAACAGAGGAAAAATGTAGTAGATTTAGTTCTGAAAGCTATTTATGACTCTGGATGCATTACTTCTCACATTGAAAAGCTCGCAGAAGAAATAAAAATGGAGAAAGACAAGCCTAAAGGGGAGGCACTCGTTTTTACACAGCTAAAGCTAGAGAAACCAGGAACTAGAAGGCAAATGTTATCTTCAGAATCTATTAATAAGTCCAGCAACATTAAAAACCTTGAACAATATCTGACAGAACAAAAACACCCTTTAGTAGACAAACCCCAACAATGTGCCCAACTCTTAAAGATTAGGTCACAACACATGAAGAGGCGTCATCGTGTCCGATTCAAAGTAGGTTTGCTGAGGAAGGTGGGCTCTGAAGCACCTTCACAGAAAGGAAGCTCTGATTACACTCCACTTGAGATCCCAAGTAGAAGAGGAGAAAAAGTCTTCTTTAAAGGGCAAGAAGCACAGCAACAGAATTCTTTTCTGAAGCAAGAAATTAAGAAACTGGAAATGATTCCTGAAACCAGTCCTGAATCTGTTCCTTGCCTCATAAAGGAACCTCTTCATTTCAAAAAGACAGTAGAAGTAGACAGTAGAACAAAACAAGATTTCAAAATCTCAATTCCACAGAAGAAAAAAGGATTGAAATTAACTAATAGCCTATCAAGTTCAAAAGAACAACAATTTCTCATTGCAGGGGTAAAGGCCCAGCAACAGAAGCCTTTCACAGGAGTTATTCTGGAGCCCATGTCCTCTTGCACACTGGATCAACATTATACTGAAAATCCAAAAGAAGAAGCAAAACTAAAAGATATGATTTTAAAGGGTTCAACTCAACAGTTAGAGAAAATGTCAAAGCAAGCATGTATTTCAGGTGTGGATCATAGGTCAAGAAGGACAGAAAAACTACTCTTGCTTATTAAAGAACAGGAGAAGAGGAGGAGAAAAATTAGAAAGAAGAAAGAATTTAAAATAGCAGAAGATAGGAAACCAAAAGTGAACTTCAGTCCAGTTCTAGAGTATTCGCCAGCTAGAGCACAACATATTAACTCAGTGGAGCATGTTAGTATATTCAAGCAAAGAGATGGGAAGGAAATGAACAGGAGCTTGGCCATGCAAAGGGTACAGCCCAGGTTGTGTGGTCCAGGGATTATCCTGGATTCTGTTCATACCAGTGTACTTATTTCTCCTGAAGCTATAGGCCATGAAGATAAAAGTACAGATACCATGAAAAGCACCATGTATCCGAAGAGAATAAAAATGAAGGCAAAGAAAACCCTTGTTTTCCAGCTACTAAATATTACAGGATATGGAACCCAAAGCAATAAAAAGGAACTGAGATGTAACATTAAGAAACAGAAGAAGGAGTTTCAGCAAGCTGAAAATGTAGCCAGTTTAATTCCGAAAACTACTTGTGACTCTGCATATATTCCATCTCACATTATGAAATTTATACAAGCAAAAAGGGGAAAAGACAAGACAAGAAAACAGATACTCATTCCTGCACAGCTAAACTTGAAGAAATCACTAAATGAAAGAAAAATATCACCTTTAGAGTCCATTTATAAGATGGATATATCAAGCAATATTAAGAAAACAAAATCACATATTAGAAAGCTAAAAGAAAAGCACCAAACTGTTTTACTAGACATTCTCCCACAATATAGAAATCAGTTAGTGATTAGCAAACTGAAGAAGGAGTCCAACCATGTCAAATTAAAAGTAGATTTGGAAAGAGAAGTGTATCCTGATCTATCTTCACAAAAAATGGAAATCAATTACACTTCTTTTGACGTGCCAAGAATTAGAACAAATGTAGAATGTGAAGTCTCCGTTAAGCCAAAAGTAAAGGAAGATGATGTAGACATTGCCACACATTTATCTTCAATTCCATGGGCAAGATCAGAAAAAACTGGTGTTTTATTAAGTTCAAAAGTACAGAATATGCTTTTTACAGAGATGGATACATCTCAACGTAAGACTTGCAAGGAGCAAGAATTGCTGAACCAAGAAAGTATTTCAACAACAAATCTGAAGGCTGTTACTTGCCCCACTATGGAACCTCTTCCTTTGGAAAACACTGGACAGATGACTAAGGAAGAAGACGTGTATGTTAACAGAAGAAATATTTCACATCTGTTGGGAAGAGAAGGATTAAAAGACACTGAAATTTTGCTAGGTTCAAAAGGACAGAAATTTCTTTGCACAAATCCTGAAAGGATTTTGGATTATGTATCTCTCCACGATAGAGAACCTCTTCATTTAAAACAGGTAGTAAATACAAAAGGAAAAGAAAACATTAGCATCTCTATAGATTTAAATGTAAATCCATGGGGACAAGGAAAATTAAAATTAACCAATATTCCACTGAAATCAAATAGACAGAAAATGAACTTTTCCAATGTACTGGGGGCAAAGCAACCAAATCTTTTTAAAGAAATTATTCTGCAATCAATTTCCTCTTGCATATTGCATCAGTTTCATATGGAAAAGCTAGAGGAAGAAGTATCAGCAAAAAAAAAGGGTTCAAAAGGTTTGATTCCAATGGTAGAAAAAGCACCAGACAAATTAGGCATCACAGTGGATCAACCTACATGTTCACAAAGAATTAATTTGCATGACAGAGGAAGAGGAGACCATCAACAAGAAAGTACCTGCAAGACTCATCCAGTGCCTGTTTCTCCCTCTTCAATGGATATACTTCATATTAAAACACCACAGATAAAGAAATCATTAAAGGCAGTAGATAGTCCAGTGTGTCACACCTCAAATATAGAAGGAATTGGTTTCCTTATTGCTGGGGAGGAAGAAAAGCAACCAGAAAGTATACACCAGACTATTCTAAAGCCACCTTCTCACTCTTCAATGTATAGACTTCACAGTCAAACACCATTTGTAAAGGCAATATCAGAAGAAATAATTAGCACTGTGGATCATACTTTGAGTGCAGAAGGAACTGGCTTGCACTTTAAACAAAAAGTAGAAGAGCAACAAGCAAGTACACAACTGACTTTTGCTAAGCCAGCTTCTCATTCTCCAATGGATATGCTTCAAAATCAGACATCGTGCGGAAAGATAGCATCAGAAGAAGTAGTTAGTGTCACAGGTCACACTCTGAATGCAGAGGGAATTGGCTTACTTGCTACAGGAAAGAAAGAACAGCAAGAAAAATATACATATAAGGATATTTCAAATCCTGAATCTCACTCCAAATTAGATCTGCTTGAAATTAATATCCCAAATCAAGTAAAATTGGATAATATGAATGTTATGTATTCTGTATATTCAATTACACAGGTTAAAGACGCATTACAACAAACAGATGACATAGATGTATATACTAAACAAAGTAAAACAAGACAAGAGCAAAAACACCAGCATCTGTCAGGTTTAGGTCAGAGTTTTCTGGAGTATATGTCTTACTCTAAAAATGACTCCTGTACCCTTCAACATTTAATGCCTCAAGAAAAGGAAGCACTTCCAAAAGTAGGTAACCAGTCAAGCAGGGCAAAAGAATTAGGCATGTTTTGTAAAGATAAACCAAATACTGTATGTGCGTGTAGACTAGAGTGCATTGACCCCTCAGTTATCCCAAGGCAAATTAAAAAACAAAACAAAATGCTACCTTTAAAGTCATGCAGTAAAACTGTAAAATATCTGAATGCTTCACCTCTCAAAGGAAGTAAATCACCAAATAGGGCACAAGTAATTAATTCAATAACAAATAATAGCTCACTCAAGCTAAGAGTTAGAAAGAAGGAGGGATCAGATAATGGAAACCTAAAGACACAAAATGAAGCATGTCTGCCGGGAACTCCTCCACATTCTCTTTATATCTCTATACCTATTTTGCTTGAAAGTAAAAGACAGAAGGATAGCATTAAAAAAGGAGATAAAGACATAATCTGCCCTGAAAGAAGAGCTTTGAAGTCAAAGAAATCAGTATTTTCATATGTACTCAATACTACTGACCATGGTAGCTTAAGCAACAGACCAGAACTTCAGTGGAATATAGAGAAAATAGTAAATATGAAACATAGAAATGCTGAACCAGATATGGTTGTGACAAAGACATCTGATTCCATATCTTCTTCACCTCACCTCAAGTTGAATAAAAAGACAGTTGATGGAGTTATCTCAAGTAATGTGAAACAAGAAAAACAATATATTTTCCAGAAAGAAGAGAAGGGTGAAGTAAAAGCAGTTGATGTGAAAGGGATAATGGACCCCCACATTGTAATATTGAAGGTAAAGGAATCACCACTATTCAGTATACTCAAAGGAAGGAATTTGGTGTTGAACATTAAAAAACAAGAGAGCAAGGTACAGAAAGGTGACTGTAAAGTGGGTGTAAAACTGATGGACTTGTGTGCATCTTTACCATCTTCATCACATCTTAATTTGAATTCAAGAATAAAAGTAGAAAAAGATAAGCCAGGAATACTAAGAAACTGCATTCCACCGCTAAAGCTTCAGGCATCATCAAACATCAGGGAAACGTCATATGAAGAGTCAAATAGAGGCCTTCTAAGCAATGGAACAAAATCAGAACATCTGCCACAGAAAAAGGAAGATAGAGGAAATGTAGTAGTAGATATAAAAGATAGAATGGACCTCAAATGTATCCCTTTAAAAGCAAATAAAACATTTTTCAAATATATGTTTCATGGACAGGGATCACAGTGGAGCATTAAAGAACAAGAAAAAATAATACAAGAAGGTAATGGTGATCTAGGTGTAGTTCTGAATAAACCATGTGCTTCTATTCCTTTGCCACCTCATCTGAAATGGAGATCTAGAATAAAAGGAGAGGAAGATATGCAAGGAATAAGAAGATTTGGTTCTTCACCACGAACACTACAGAAATTATCAGATCCAGTGAAAACATATGAAGAACCAACTGATGATCTTTTAAGCCAAATTAGAAAAGTGAAACATATGCCACAGAAAGATGAAGACAGAGGGAAAATAGCTCTGGAAGAAAGAACACATCCTGAAGGAATAGCTTTGGAAGCAAAGAAAGCTTCAATTTCAGAGAAATTGCCTCTAAACATCAAGGAAAAGGAGAAAGAGGGGCAGGAAGATAAAGATAAACAAGTTGAGATTCAGAGTGAATCCATCTCTCTTCCATCTTACTCTGAATTAGGCACAGGAATAGAAAGGGAGAGAGGTATGCAAGAAATAACAAGATTTCGTTCTTCACCACGAACACTCCAAGAATTATCAGATACAACGAAAATACATGAAGACCCAATCAATGACCTTTTAAGCCAAATTAGAAAAGTGAGACATATTCCACAGAAAGATGAAGACAGAGGGGAAAT